CCACCCCCACCACCACCACCACCACCACCACCACCACCACCACCACCACCACCACCACCACCACCACCACCGTCGTCAAAATTAGACTTGCTCCAGTAACTGTTCTATTTCCAGTTATTTACAACTTCTACAAGACCAGTATTTTCTTTTATCCAATTGAATTTGCCTTTAAATTACACACATGTTGTTCCTTCCCTCTCCAACTATTAAGGATGCATTTAGTTGCTGAATTCACTCTCTCTGAAGTTAAAAATTTACAAAATTTTAACGCAAGGGGTTTTTATAACTAGGAAGAGTGGGTGTATTGAGGATATAGAAGCCTGAAGTACAATCAGTTGCCATTTGATTATTTGAAGCACCACCTTCTAGGTTGGGTGTCCAACAGCTGCACAGCTCCAGTACCCCTAACTGACTGCTACATCTGTTTTCTTCTCCTTCATTGGACAGCCATCTATTCACAAAATATTGAAGTATTTCTTACGCTAGAATATCTGTAACTTCAGTAACAAGAATCGATTATCAAATTTTCCCATTTTACAGAATATATCTTGAATATCAGTTGTTCTATCCATAATCTTCTTGTTAATTCAAACAATAAAATTTACTAATTCTTTCCAACTTAAGGCTAGTTTTAAGCTTAAGTTTAACCTTCAAGCATTAATTCAATCTGTAGATATCAGTCTAATCTTCAATTATACATGTAGTTTGGATGGCACTAAATCTACAAAATCTACAAAAATGTACTAAACTCAGTTTTCTTCAAAAATTGATGCTATGTTGTTTTTTATATCAGAGCAACCCTTTTTGTAATACATGCAAATGATGGTCTGTTGAGTAAATGATTAAATGAAATACCATTGTGTGGTTCTATAGAGGGGTGCAAATCTCCTTGGTGTGCCAAGAGATTAAAACTGCTCACTAGGGCCCTGGATATGCTGTTCAAGTTTCTCTGCCTCAAATAGGCTCTTTTCACACACAAAAATTGTCGAACTACTTGCTATAGCTGTTACTATGCCTGTTGACTAACAGTTCATACAATCATACACACTACTCTCTGCTTAATCAAACCTGGTCACAATCTTGGAAACAGGTCTGCTCTCTGCTTGATCAAATCTGGTCTGATTCAATTTCCTCACTCTTCCAATCAAGAACCCACACACACCCATGTAAGTGGGTATTTGCCTGCAACTGGGGACCCCCTATTGTTCCTCTTTTGTTTGTACTTTAACTTTTTTAGAACACCACCCGTATGTTTTGTACATGTTTTCCAACCGTGGACTCTTCGGCAACCGTGGACCCTATTGTCCCCTATTGTTATAGGTCCACGATTTGAATGTGTATACAAACTCAGTCACTCCAATGGTCTATCACTGTAGGCAGAACAAGTCCCTAGAAACCTTTGTCCAAACACCTGAACAGCAGGGTTGGAAGGACCCAAAATAAGCATCTTCACACAATGGCTTTTGAGGTGCTGCTATATACATGTAGGAACACATACACTATTGCATGCTGTGGTAAGGAATGAATAATTGGAATAGGCACTGTATCAAACAAAGATTGGGCTGCAGCATATTGCAGTCTGCACTATTGGACAAAACTTTTCTGAAATAAAGGTGACACTGGATATTCTAACACCCACTCAGCAGGGAACAACGTCTTCGCTGGGCCCTCTGCCTGATTCCTGCCTCCATAATTGTTAGAACAATGACGTGACTTGACATAGTCAAAAGACCTTCCTTTGTAAACAAGTATTAAATAAAAAAGATATGCATCAACCAGCACAGTGCAAATGCTGCCTAAACTGTGAAAAGTGTCTCAGTTTAATAAATGTCAATTTTTTTTGGTTAAAACTAGGGATTGACATCAACTCTTGGCCAAACAGTCTGTGGATCATGTGAAAGCATGGTTAACATGGGGGGGGGGTTCATGCAGAGGTTCAGTGGACAGGGTTAAAATTTGGTGAAATGAATTTGAATAAAGAAATGGATATTTTGGCTGAATAGATTTTCACTGTGCTGGTCATATCAGCCCAAAGAAAATCATTACTAGGGAACAAAGTGCCCTCACTCATTCCTGCAATGAGCCAATATTAGGCATAATCTGAAATTAGAATTCTGAATGGTCCAAGTTTCAAATGCCTTTGGTTTGGGAGTTCCAATAAGAATAAGAAAACAGGTTATGTTATTTGAAATACGTGGGATTTGAATACCATTTTTATTGTATTCCACAGCCTCCATTTGTGGGTCTAACCCCTGTCGCAATGGTGGCACCTGTCTTGCAAATAATTTGGGCTTTGTGTGCCTGTGCCCTAGCAACTACGCAGGAACAATGTGCGAGGAACCCAGTAAGTGACATGAAACCAAACAAATTGAGCTGCTAATCAGGAGATATTGCACAAAACATATGCTAAAAGCTTCACAGTGTACCAGTCAAAGCATTGTGTATCATAGGCCGTATTTGCTGGCACATGTAACTACTATGTTGCCAAGTAAATTCTTTTATACTTGGCAGATATGAGACAACATCCCACAAAATGAGTCCAAAGGCCATTTTCCAGTTGTTTGATTTGATTATCAGTTTGGTACTCCTATAAAACTAAAGCATCATGTGGAGGAAAAGTGTGGTTCCAGTGACTTGTCACTCATTTTGTTAAATTGGATCACATGTGCTTTCTCAAAGTTCCCAATTGCATAATTAACACATAGTTGTGAAAACAACTACAGGGTCTTTTTCTGTGTGTTATACTTTCATTATGGCCAGCAAATACTTTAGGATTTTGTGGTTATGCCTAAGTAGTGATTTGATCAGGATGGGGATTTATTATTAATTTTATAAATATTCAGCAAAACTTCAATTTACTATAAAACATTAAGCCAACACTTAAAGGTCACCACCACCTAACTGTTATTTACATACAACAGTGCACATTGTTGGTCAGATGTGTATAAATGCACAGAATTGAACCATTAACCCTAACCCTCCTCAATCCTTCACCTGTTGGAGGACTGAGGAGTGTTAGGGTTAATTTGGTAAAGAGTTAATCATCATAGAATGCCAGCAACAAATCTTCCACATATTAGGGGCATCTTCAAAGACCTGTGACCTAGCTGAGGCTTAACCCAAATAGCTACTTTGGGAATCTCAAGAGACACATGTATATTGTGTCCATTGGAACTGTAGAGCTATCCATCACTCTCTGGAAAGGCTTTTTCCTCTGAGATGGAGTAAATGTATTCAGTCACATATTTTTGGTTTTACAGATGGTGATGTATTGTTTAAATAGGGACAAATCTTATTGCAAAGTTAAAGGCCAAAGAGCTACATGAGCTTGTTGCGCTTGCCACGTTTATGGTTCATGACTCAATGTGTCCCCTCTTATGAAGGAATCATTCCTTAAATCTAGCATTTCCTTCCAAACTGTTGTTACATAATCACCAGATGATATATTCTGGTGATGTTACTGAACACTTAAATGCTCTTTATGCCCTGGAATTCTAACAAACACTTTACAGACGTCATTGAAATAAAGAAGAATGCCAGATCTCATATACATAGTGTGAAAATGGGTCCCTTTAAAAAAAAGCAAACTTTTTAAACAGTTTTAAAGTTTGGGTTTGTTTAAACATGTTAATGCTCCAGCCTTACTGTGTGAGCAATGACAAGCTTGCAAATACACTCAATATCTTGAATCCTCATGTCTATTTATTTGTTTTCACCAATAGGGACAGCTTGTAGTAGTAACCCATGTAAGAATGGAGGTACCTGCCAAGTCACATCAAATGGCTTTGTATGTCTTTGCCTATCGCCCTACATTGGTGCTCAGTGTCTTGACCGTGAGTTCAATAATCTTTCCTGACCTCTAGCTTTTGTACACAAATAGGCCTGCTGGCTTTTGGTTATTTTTTCAATGGGACAATTGTTTTTTTTCTGATTACATGTTTACAAGCAATTTTTTTAGTCTGCTACCCAAGCAAAGTTTGATCAGCTATTTGTGTCATCTTCTCTAAAACTTACAAAGACTGAGAGCATGGCACATAGACAAAAGTAACGATATGTAGTGGTCTATATGTAGGCCTTTTAAGAATAAAAGAAAAACTAGTAGTACATGGTTTTGATTTTAGGAGTGAAAATGTTCTTGATTTGCAGGACCATGTGCTAGCAATCCTTGCTACAATGATCAACCTTGCATAGAAGATTCCTCTGGCTACACCTGTCAATGTGACCCGTCCACTTTCTTTGGGGACCGTTGCCAATTTAGAGGTAAGTAGAGCGTGTGAAGTTTCCACGCGATATCTCCTGGTCTGGTTCCTGTACCCTGTCATAATCTTGTCAGCCCATGTCTGAATCAAGCAGCTGTAGGCAAAGATAACACACATGTATGGGAAATGGTTGCAACCACTAGCCAGTGGCTTCAATTGGTATGTGTGATTGAACTAGCTGTAGCCATTGCTTATAACCTGTGAAACTTAGACAATACCTGAATCAACTGAAGCAGCACACCCATCTGTGGCAAATATCAGTAGTCAGTGCTAGGTAGTCGCTCTAGTACATGTGTGTTATTTCTAGCCGCAGCCACAGCTATCAGACACTGCTCTACTTGCATACTCTTCTCTTACCCTCAAAGTATAGTGTGATCCTCTTACATTTCTGCATGGATTGCATGGAATGCAAGTCGTTGATCAGCACATGGGAATCATATTCCTTTGATGCAGTTATGAATTGGTCTCGGAATCCTGGTCCGATAATGTACAAATAATGAATGATTGTGAATGCGATGTTCAGAATAATTTTATGTGGTGACAGATTGAGTGTTCTTTTCCAAAGTTTTATTTAATACAAAGCCAAGTGGAATAGAACATTCATTGTTCTACCAATGAAATGATTCTTTCCATTACACAAATATGAAGCACTGTTATTTGTTATACAGTGCTTGAATAAATCATTTAGAAGTTTTATGTACAGTTCCCTGTTTTACTTTGTCAGTTGGAAGTGAATATACAACGTGACATTTTCACATTCCGCTTTATTTCATTCAGATGATCCTGTGTTTCTTACAGTTTGCTTTGTTTACTTTCTTTCTATTATAAAAGCATTTACTATTGCTTCTGAATTCAGAAATTTCCTGAATAAAGACAGAATGTTACTTTCACATCTATTCATATCACCCCAAATTTGGTATGTTTGTGTGAAGAGTTGTCAATGCACCTACTGCATGCATGTCCACTGTACTTCATACTCTCTGTGTATGGAAAGCCACCTGTGCATACCGCACATATACTCAGTAAAAGGGAATACTGGTGATTCATGGCTTTACTGGAATGCCTTTAACTCATGCCTTGGATTATACAAATTTGCATCACATGATCTACAATTCACCAATCAAAAACAGACTCTTCTGGAGAGCTGATCCAAAAAGGTTCACTTTGTACAGTGTTGGTCTTCCCTTTGCATAGATGTTTTAAGTTTTTACAATAAACTTTCCCGGGCACATGAAAATGCCCAGTAGAAGGTCGTGATGTCATAGTGTTGAAAACAGAGAACTTGGCTTTTGTAGTCTTGAGTTATAATTTCGGATGGGTTCACTGGCTCCAATTCAAGGCAAATCCTAAACCATGTGGCTAAAGCTATTTTTTGGCAAAATGTTGTGATTGAAGTATATATTTGAAACAGATGTATGAAATAACCTTAAATCCTGACTGTTTTGCTGTTGACTTTACTCATGAAATGGCCATTTGGATTATACTCTCTGAGTCTACCGGGGGACTTTAATTTTCTGAATAGAAAGAGCCTGATAATTTTGCTGTAATTACAAGTTAGGCTTCTCTTTGGAGAAATATGTTTCATTTGGAGAATCAAGGTGGCATGAAATTTTATCCATAACTTTGAACTACCCATCAGTCCACAAGGATGATCTATAATTTGCCCCATTTCATCAACTTCTTTCCCACAAATATTAAGTTTGTAGAAATCCTTATGGGACCACCTCACTTCTGACTCAAGATTGCTGACTTTTGAATAAGGTCATTGAAGTACTTTTTTAATATCAGATGGCATTCATATCTTGTATCATGACTTATGGTTTGCACAGTGCCTCAGCATGTCACTTGTTTATTTGAATGAGAGAGAAAGCATTCTGTCTGTGTGTCTTGATGTGTCTTGATGTTCTCTGGCATGTTTGTCCACCTCTCTCAGTGCCTTGTGCTAGCAATCCCTGCCAGAATCAAGGCACCTGCATTGATGACCTCCAGACCAACTCTTATCGATGCCAGTGCCCCTTGTCTCATGAGGGAGACCAGTGCCAGATCCCAGGTATTCATGGTGTCCACCAGGATTGCACTCATCACCACCCTTCATAATACACCCCTGTTGCCCCTCAGCTGCTCCCCTGTTGCCCTTCAGGTATTTCCCTTCTGCCCTACTGTCCCTTGTCTGCTCACCCTTAACTGCATTCCTTTTCCCCTCACTTTGATATACACTCTTATCCTTCAGTTCTTCCCTTGTTTCATTACTGCAACCCAGTGAATTTTAAAGCAGTTACACCCATTGCCATTCAATTACACCCCTGCTGCATCTAAATTGCACCCTTGTTGTGCCATACCTACACGCTGCTTGCATTTCATTTGCACTCCTATTGTATCCTCCTTTCCACCCATCCTCTCTACCAGTGTTAAATATGACTTCCATTCATTTGCATCCCTTAGTCCTCCTTCGGTGGTTGACCCCTCACCTTCTCAAAATGTTTGTGGTCCAGCACAGGGCTCACACTCCCTTAGAGCATCATCCTTTGCTGTGCATACTGCCAGACCAAACCTGTCACCATTTTTATTAACACACCAACACTGTTCTTGATTTTTCTGAGATGTCAGGTGTTTTCATCATTAATCTCTGAGTTCTATTTGCTTTTGTGTTAGGCTAACTTGGCTAAATGTAAAACCATGCTGTGTATATAATTATATGAACCATTGGAAAGTCTAACTAGTCCAAGTCTAAGAATGGTCTGTGTTATTCAGTCAGTAGTCAGACTCTGCACTTGTACAACATCCAAAAGTTGATTGAACCGTTTGAATTGCACGCTTTTTGGGAGCATTGCTCAAGATGTAATTTCATTATGGAAAAATACATTCAAAATATAAAAATCATAGACCCGAACATGTTTTCCGAAGAAGCAAGGACAGGAAAAGGTAAATTTTCAGATCGCCAGTTTTAGTCATGAAGTATGGCTTCTTGTTTTTTTATGTGTTGTTCTGTATTAATTTCTTACCCAAAAGATCCTAATAATACCTTGGCTGGGGCAGCACAGGAAAAGATTTATGTTAGTGTTTGGCCATTTGATTATCTTGTGTTTTGACAGTCGACATCTGTGCAGAAGCCCCTTGCAAAAATGGGGGTACCTGTACCCAGACGGGTGCCACGACTTTGTCTTGTCAATGTGTGACTGGGTACTCTGGCCCCTACTGCCAGGCTGTCAATGAGTGTCTTCTCAATGCTCCTTGTCAGAATGGTGCCACCTGCTCAGATACACCCGCGTCCTACACTTGTATGTGCCCTGAGCAGTATACAGGACAGAACTGCGAGTATTGTAAGTTAACTTTGAGTCTGACCCCAGCATTGCCTTGTTTTCTTCGATGAAAGCCATATCCAAATCAACTGGCTGCAACTAGGAGTAATGCACATATCTATGGAAAGTGGCTTCAGTTGTTAGCCAGTGACTTTTCATAGGTGTACATGTATTTCCAGCTGCAGCCATAATATTCAGGCATGGCCACAGAGTCAGATAAGTTTTAAATTTTAACAACATATAGTTTACTATTAGATAAGCTGTACCAGGCTATTGTGCAGCCACTAAAAAGTATCCTCACCATCACTACCTATTTGCCCTGCCCTACATTCATTCACCTGGTCTGTGCAGCGCATGTTAGATGATCCATTTGATTAGCATGTCCCATGCCACCCATATTGGGGTGGCTGGATCTTTGCGCGCCCCCCCACCCGCATTGTTACCATGTTCGCTGTGTGTAAATAGTTTTATCACTTAAAGGTATAAAATGTAATATAATTTCTGACTAATCAGGTAGTTCTCACATAGCCAAAGTACACTCAGCAGGGGTTTAGATAATTGTGACCCGCTCTGCAAAAAAGGGTAATAAGTCGCGCAATTCCAAAATATGTTATGGCCTGTTCTATTTGGAGAGGGCAAAATGTCTTTAAAAATGTGATTTTGTGTTTTTTCCTCTATTAGCTTATATAACATTTACATGTACATGTATGTTTTCAGAATTTGTGACTACAAACATGCATACTGATGAATAAAGATGAAAAAATGATCATTCAGTAGGAAATCCTACATAGCATTGTGTTTCCAAGCGCTACACTTTCTGAGCTTCTTCTCAAAAAGTGCTTTTATTGAATCCGAAAATGTGGATATACAAATGTCTAAATATCTCCAGAACGCAGTGCACTACAGGGGTCATTCATAAATCAAATTGTAGCTTTTGATGTACACAATCCAGCCATATCAAAAACTGACAACCTGAATCTGGCGACTTATTACCCATTTTTCTAGAGCCGGTCACAATTTTCTTCAAGCCAGGAGTACAATACCCACTTCCTCGCTTACAGTAGAGTACAGTACTCTTTTGCCCTTAGTATTGTGTTGTATTGTACTCTTCTTCATGAGAGGGAGAGTACTGTACTCCCTAAGAGGTGGGGAACTGACTGCCAATAGTATGTAAGTTAGTCCTTTTGCCTTAGTAATGTAATAATACTTGTTATTTCTCTTAAAAAACACTGTAAAAAAGCAGTGCTTAATGATAACCGTGAACTCATGACACCTTAGACAAATCACACAAGTTTGTATCTGCCTGTGTATGGTGGCAAGTGTGAGGCTACTGCATGCAGACGCCATGTTGACCGGCCGCAGTGTGCACACACCCGACGGTGGCCATTCAGAAAATCATGGTGCACTTCATCGCTCGGCGGTCAAATGAACTCACACTCATGATCTAACCTGAATCTTTCTAAGGTGTTTCAGACTCAAATTTTCCAAAACTAATACCTGGTTTGTTGCAGATGTACCAGAAAGCCTCTGTTACGCCACTTGAAAAAATGCCCTTGTTTAGTGGATCAAAACTTTTGGTTTGGGAGGTTCTGAATAAAGTTATCATGGTTATGCACAGAGTGGCAGGAAACGCTGTACGCAAACTAACATAAACAATCGGTTTCAGTAGCATCCGCTATGACTGTTACTCTGTTGGGTACGGCCTAATTATTGAAGCATGAAAAAATAGAAACTTATGGTACTCTTCCTACTGTAGGAATCACTGCGTATTCTACGTTCTGCACGAGGTTTTGTACTGCATATATTGACTATTTTCTAAGTAGGATCGGAAGCATATATATGCCAATATGCACATTATCTAAACCGCTGACTGAGTGTGCTGTTTTTTTCCCCTCTGATATGAGGTCATTTTAAATATACACACACTGACTTAGAAAGTTTAGCCTATTAGAAATATAATAAAATATCAATAATTATATATAATAATTGTCAATAAGAACCTATGGGAATGGATAAAAGTTTGAGACCAAAAGTGCACTTCTTAAAGCATTTTGGTGGCATTTTTTAAGCCATTGATTGGATCTTGGCCAGAATTTGTTGAATGGAGCTAATTGCTGTAGTCATTCACTCTTGGGCAACAACTTGGGCTCAATGCTTCTTTCGCTTTCAAGTCACAAATATTCCATTTCTCATATTAACCATAACCTGGTAAAATATTAACAACTAACTCATCCTCCCAAATTAACAAATAAACATTTTTGTCTGACATTACATCCATTCTCACTTTGATAACTTTCAGTGTCTTGTATCACCAACACATGTGAGAACCAGGCTACATGTGTCACCAGCGGAAGCAGCAACATTTGCCTGTGCCCAAATGGCTTCGAGGGTGTCTTTTGTCAAAATGGTAGGCATTGCATGATGATGATGGGAGAATGTAAGGTAGCTAGCACATCATAATGTACTGATGACAGTCTTATCATCCTGTCACACTTTACAACTTCCAGCTTTGTTATTGCTTTTACTAAAACTAATTGACACTGTGATTTGCAAAGCTTACAGAAACTTGTTGAGGAGACAATAGAGAAATAGAGAGTTTAAGAAGCAGTATTCCTGCAAAACCAAGACAATCAGGTCAAGGAGTGGAAGGCCAATCTACATGTCAGGTTGGGTGGTGTGTGGGCATTTAATGTGAAAAGAGATCTGTAGTGTGCATGCTCAGATGGTTGTTGCAAGCTTCCTGTGACCAGAGGGGTAAAGAAAATCCTGTACTTAAAAATTCCATATCATTCCTAATCATTCCATATATTTACAAATGCCTGTATTGATTTTATTACAAATATTGGTATTATTTACATATATTTGGTTGAATAAAGATACTTCAATAACGCCTTGCTGGTCTTGTACTGACTCAGCTCTTATGCTAGCAGTGACATAACTTGTCCAGGATTTTTATTCAGAGGTGTCAGCCAGAATCTGGAAGTGTTTTTGTGCTGTATGACCAGTAATCAGGCTCATAGTCATGACATAAGCAATGCTAGCAATGCTTGCTAACAGTCCTGTTAAATGGTTACTGGAGACCATTCAGAGGGGAGAAAACAGATGGCTATTGCTTCTGACTTCCAGCCAAAGACATTGATCCGTCAGAAGGCTGCCAACATGGGCTGAATGGCTCATTTGGTATAGCGTTGATACAGTGTTCTGGAGGTTGTAGGTTCAAACCCTTCTCTAGCCAGTATCTTTATTCAATTCTAATATTGATTAGAGATGTGCCTGATGAGTTTCCCTTTGTAATTCATTTCAAGAATTTAAAAAAAACACAAGAAGCATGCCAAAACCAGTTTCTCAGTCATCCATTCTTGTTTAACTGATTGCAGACATCAATGAATGTTTGACGAATCCCTGCGATGCGAACAAAGTTTGTCGAAACACACCAGGTTCCTACATGTGCACATGCCCAGATGGCCTCGCAGGTGTCAACTGTGATACAGGTAACCAGGGAAATCCTTCAAGAGATACTACGATGCAATATGTCTCCAGTAGAAATTCCTCAATATGATTAGTAAACAGCAGGAAGTGTTTGAAAGTTGTGCTGTTGTCTTTTGTGGTCACTTGCAAGTGAAAGAGATTTATAGTAACACTACATTGTGTGACTGTGTTGCTTAGTAATCATACATAGCTCTCTCTGTAACAACCTGCCCTTCTTGTCACTACACATGGGATGCTGGGATCATTAAACAATTTCTTGCTTAACCTTACTCATCTGAAATCTGCCATCTCTAGATTGCAGTACATGTAGCTGCCATCCTACAAGCCAAGAAAAAGAGATCTTGGGGATAAATATTAGGATACATCGTAGAGTGAATTGCTCCATTTCAACTTCTCTGGGTTTTGGTACCAAACTGTCGGAGGGATTCAAATTTTTTTTATCCCAGAAAAAGGTTTCAATAGGAGGTACGTTGTGCTTCCTAAAGCTGTCAAATGCAAAAGTAGTTTATTGAATGTATCCATATATACAGACGTAGTACATGCCTGTTAATGTTTTGAAGTTACAGTAAAAAATTGGTGCCGTTACAAGAACACATAACCTGAACATTGAGTCTGTGGGTGCTTGTCCTGTCCTCAGTTGAGCTTGGTGGAAGGTAACTGTAAAATGCATGCAGTTGATGGTTGCAGGTTGGGAGATAGCTTGAGGAACTTGTAAGGACTTTTGAAGGAGATTTGAAGTGGTTTGTTCAAAAGTTGCATTTGTTTGTTTATTTTTTATTTGATAGATATTAATGAGTGCAGGAGTAACCCATGTCGTAATGGAGGCACTTGTGTTAATGGACAGAACATGTACACCTGTCAGTGCATCCCAGAATACTCTGGAAATAACTGTGAAGGTAATTTCTTTTCCTCCACTGTGATGAATCATTAAATAACTCCCTTAACCATTACACAATGCAGTCAGTTACTGTTATGAACAGTCTAATGCAGCTGGGTGCAACTGGCTCAAACAAAAGGTACAGGCAGATTCTGTTGAAACTTGATCACACAAACTCTTACCATATTGCACAGCTGGAACCAGTCAAGCTTGGTTAGAGCCAACATGAATGCAGTTGTCAGTTAATGCTTGCAAGCTGGGAGATAGCTCATATACATTTTGTTCAGCTGTTGCATCTGTTTATTTTTGTACTTGGTAGATATTAATGAGTGCAGGAGCAACCCATGTCGTAATGGGGGTACATGTTTTAATGGACAGAACATGTATACCTGTCAGTGTAGCCCAGAATACTCTGGGAAGAACTGTGAAGGTAAGGTTCTTTTCCTCCACTGTGATGAATCATTAAATAACTCCTTTGACCATTACAAAGTTTATTCTGATACTGCTATGAACAGTCTCTTTAATATCGCAGTGTGTAGTCGTCTCAAGTATTACTTGACCACATGTACTCTTCCCATATTGCAGGGCTGGAACCAGTGTGTGTATGTGATATGTCCTTTCCCTTACTCTCTCAAAGCACCCATGCACACTTCTTAATGAAAGCAAGTTCAATCAGGAACTGCTTGTTTAACACTGGTTGTTGTTTGATGTTGCACAAGATACATGTAGTTATTCATCTAGTTGTTCTTGTGTGGTTAACTATCAGTACTTTGAACAATCTCAGTTCTGGTTTACATATATTAAGCACTGCAGTAATTGAAAACCAGCTGTGTAAGTTAACTTATCCTAAATCTGAACCAGTGCAGTGCTGGCTCCGTTGCCCCAATTTTTTCATTGTAGTGCATGTATAAAACTCTATGGGTGTGCAATCAGGTGTGTTTGTAAAATTGTTCCAGGGTTCCCAAGTTCCTATCCATCATGGGAAGAGGGCCTAGGGAAATGCGTGCATAGCCACAATTAATGCCTCACTTTCCTTTTAACACCCGTGATCAAATGTGATTTTTTGCCTGCTTTCAGTATTTGACCCTTGTAAGAGCAACCCATGTCTGAATGGGGGTGTCTGTGTCAACGCTGTGACCACTTACACATGCAACTGTATAGGAATATTCAGTGGCAAGAACTGTGAAAGTAAGTTTACTGAGGTGCTACAGAATTGGGGTAGGAGCAAGGTCAGGGAGGATATGGAAAAAAAACCCCAGAAACTTGGGTTTTACTCTTAAAAAGCTGTGAGAGAGATATGGTCCATTCCTAATTCTACACTTTGTATGTCTAGGCCAAGTCCGAGTTTTTCTCCTATTATTTTGCTCAATTTTGGATGTGTTCAACAAAATTGAGATGTAATGTTGGTACAATGTTTAATCATTTCCAGGGTGAGGAAGTATATGGCTCTCTATGGACTCTACAAACTCAAACCCTGTCACAAACCATTACGATTTGTAATGAATACATTAATGATGGCTTTCATAAGGCAACCAAGTTTGAAGGGGAGCAGTTGTCAGTTTTAGTTTCGCTTTTTAAATAGTATTTTGATATTTTTTGGTTTTTATACAATTTCTGTATCATGAGCAAAATTTGGATGTCACCCCTGGGAGAAAAACAGCAATGTTGCATTATGTTGCACGTTGCAATGATTTATGCACAATTTTTCGTATTTTGCTGTCGCCAGTGCTCTTTTCTTGTTGATTATTGTTTAAGTTAATGGCATTAAGCCAATGAGCAATTTTTCTCAGGATGTTTTCAGTCAGATGTTTTCAGTGTTTTTGGGATCACAAGTCGAACAGAAAACATCTAAAGTGAACAGTGTCTTTTGTGATTAACATCTCAGCAATACTGACCTTAGTTTCCAGAAAGCATTTACGATTTCAAATGTTTCAAAAAGTGGACTTTTTAATACACTTTAACCCCAAAAGGATGGATTAACAAAAATATGTCAAAGAAATGTTCATCTATGGAGCCCTTTGAAAATCAGGTGTTGGGAAATGATTGGGCTAGTTCTTTTGTTGACTGTTTCCTCCTCTCCTCCCCCTAAATTAGCCAGAAGCTGATGGTTAGATGCTCCAGGTATCTTGAAAATGCAATCCACTCTCCAGACAGAGTGTGTTTGTACCTGTATTCTCAATCTAATATTATTTTTTCTGATGTAAATTTGCAGCTGGGGATGAATCCTCAGGGACTTTTGGTGGTGTCCAGCTCCAGCCTTATTGGATTGCCATCATTGTTGGTGTTGTACTTTTAGTCATCTTCCTCATTGTGGTGGTTGCCGTTGTCTATAACAACTGCAGGCCCAGGTGAGATACCAGTCTTGCTTTGTCTCTACAACAGTTGTCATGAATAACCTACGCTTATATACTAATGACGTTGATATTAACAGCAGCAGGTGTCATGGCCTGAAAGAAAAAACTACACTGCCACACAAATGAGAGCTCAATAACAGAGTGATAGTCAGTATATGTATTAATTCATTCCTTAACAAACTGCTTGAATTTTTTCTAATGCTAGGAAAGATTTGAAACTCTTTCTGTCAGTTTGTCAAATTTGCCCTTTTAATAATGAGCACTGCATGAAGTCTTCAACTACTGTGCAAGTTAATGTATGTTGTAAGTGCTATTTCTGCTTCTTATTTTGTGTATTGTGTGCATAGTTTTGAACTTGTAATTGATTTCAGTCCTTAATTTGCTGTCTGTTTATTCAGTTGGTTAGAACTGGCATGTAAGGTCACACCTTAACTGGTCTATGCATGAATGAAGTCACACTTTGCGTGCGTGCACACTTTGGTATGAATAAAGTGTATTGGCCTGTTAAGGATCTTTCTGTTCAGGCACAATTAATGGATCTGGGTCAAAATTGGCTGAATTGTTGCCATTTCATTGATGAAATTAAAGGTTTTATTTGCAGGGTTTTGCTGGTTAAAGGTATTAAGCATATTGCCAAACACGTTTGGTTTTGTTTCTTTTTGAGAGTGGGAAAATCCATCCCACTTACAATTTCTACGCCATTTCTGTCATCAACTGTTTGTTTTTTTATACTTTGTTTTCCCCTTCCTTCATGAATATTTTTCTTTGCTAGACGTGACAAGTACCTCCATCGTGTGGATTCTGAGTCCCTTAGGCAAGTGTTTAGGAGGACTGTTAAATTTTTTTCCCACTGCATAAATAAAAACCAGCTGTCAATCTGAGTGGTTTGTTCCATTGTTTTTCAGAGAATAAGACCTACACATCGTTTTTCCTCTGTTGTGAAATTTACATCTCTTGCTAACTATGCCAACATTGGTGCTTAAAAATGTCAAGCCCAGTGAGCATTGCAGTTTTGCACACTCACACCCAGAAAACCATGTCATCCACACTGCTGCACCAGTATTTGGAATCTTTTTTCTCCACTAACACAGGTTAACCTCATACTAACTACTAAAAGACATCATGGTCTTGCAAAACTAGGCATACGTCATTTCAAAAATTTAGCAAAACTTGCATTCAATTTTGAATTGTTCATTTTCTTCAAATATGCTTGCCCTGTTATGTTTGAATTGGCTCATTCCATGAGGTTGGGGCACAATTTGTGACGGTGTCCATTGTTACGTGGGTTCTGCAAAAATGAACAGCTATTTCCCTATATGTGGATTCCAAATTATACATCTTGCTAGGCTGAATACAGAGGTGTGCGTTATTTTTACAGAGTAAATGACCTATTCTATAGGTCATGACAGGTGGTAAAAGTTACCCATGTAACAAGGACACCGTCAAAAACTGTACCCCAACCTCACAAAATGACCCAAATAGCATTTGGGGAAATGGGCAGTATCTCTCTTTTGAAAATCATTTACTTATAACCCACCAAAAATTCAAAACATCATGGCCTCCTGCCAAGCCTCATGCAGTTTCTTAAGAGCTTGCTACATTCATTTTAACATTTTCAACTCGTCTTTAATCTGATTTTATTAGTTATCACACGAGTGTGAGTGGAACATGGAATAATGTAGTGCGTCTGTGTTCCATATGCCACGATGCTGAAGGCTGAATGGCACCCGGGACAAAGACACACTACATCACGAGCATGAGTGTGATAACCAATTATCTTCAAACACAATTTGACATGCAGTAAAGATGTTATAAGGGCCTATGCATGCAAATGTGCTACCTTTAAATTTAAAATAATTTTTCCAGTTGTGCATTTTGCTTTTACTAAATAGCACAATGTGTTGAGTTAGAACAGTGCATTACACCGCGTTTGATATAAACCATGCAATACAGTTGTATATCACACTGTTGTCAAGGATCGACCAATCAGATTGAGAATTCAAGTTTGCCTGAAGACAAAACTTTTTGGCCTATTTCCCAGTGTGTTCATCATCAAATAACTTACAGATATTCATAGGGAAATAAGTCACAAAATTTGAGATTTAAGTAGAAATTCAGTGGAAATCAAACTTGAGCTGAAAAGGGCCACCTTTTTTACAGTAATGATCGATGGATGTTGCCATCACAATTTTTAACTTGATCAGTTTCAAACTTTACATAGCACTTCACATGTAACATGATATACTCAGCATTTGAGCAAGAAGCTAAACTTATACTAAATGTGGGGCAAAACTTAAGCTGTTGGGATGTAAGTTGTTTGCACACTTTTAGAGTCATTTTAGCCTATTTTTCCACATATGCACAGTAAAACAAGTTAATTAGCGATTATGATTGTAATGAAACAATTACAGAGCCGCTTTTTTTAGCCCGAAACATGAAAACATATAGACTCTAGGATGTGAGATGGGAGTTACACTGTCACAATTAGTTATAAAAGCTTCGCTATGTTATTGAGTTTGCTCAAAAAATAAAAAGAAGATTGCACATATATATAAAACAATGAAATTTGACGAGATTCTTCTAGGACCATCCTTGGCAGATGGTCTTATTTGGACCAAGTCTGAAGTCCACCAGAAAGTACCATAGTGGACTGGTAGAGGAAAATCACTGAATAACAAGGGAAAAACAGGGGCTGTTTTGGGTATCAAAAGTGCCAAAAGGCTAATAATTTCTATTAGTATTTAAATAACATTTATAATCATAATAATACTGCTTGAAAATAACTAGCAAATACTCAGCTATATGCACATTTATCACCTATTTGTGGGTGATCTTGGTGGAGGGAAATTGTTGACCCAGGAGCTATTGCATCAAGTTAATTACCTCTATGAGACCTTGGGCAAATTAACATGAAGGACCTTATCTTCTGTGCAGATTTCTCAAATTTCATTAAGGTAATTAATGTTCAAAACCAGGTCTTTTTTAACCATTAACATCATCAGCCACATTCTCCTCATCTGTAGCCCACTTGTCCAAAATATGGGGACACATTTCTTGAGCTGTGCAGTAAGTAATCTAGCTACTCTCTTGTCTTGTTTTAACTTTCTCAGTAAGCATCACCGTTACAACTATGATGCTGAAGAGGCTACACGCATGCATGGTGCTGATGAACTAGATCATGAGACGGCCCTTAACCACTCTATCCACAAGCGTGAGCGAAGCCCTGAGAACAACAACTATGGGTTCATGCCACGCAATGGCAGCAGGTATGCGGACGATGATGAACCTAATTGGGTGATGTTGATGAACGGCGTGGCAAACCATGACAAGAAGACACCCATCAAAAGGTTGCTCTTGTAACAGAACACACTTTGTTGCCTTTTGTTTTAAAACCCTCTATACACTTCCTTTTCAGCTCTTTTTAGTTACAAATTCTGAAGAAATTCAAAATGAGACACTTGGTGATGGCAAACTTTTTGCTGATATTCTGAAACAGTTGATTGTTTTTCAAAGTAGAATTGCTGAAGCAACAGCTTGGGATGTTGGTTTTTGTAGGAACTAAAAATTGAATTCTTTCGTGAATCATGCACTACTTCTTTAGAGACAGCTCTTTTCTAGTGTTTGTCACATGTGACTAGTTGCAATTGTGACAAGTTGCATGTGACTAATTGCTGTGTTCTTAGGCCATTCAGCTCTTGTGCATGACTTGAGGGAATACTCAGAAATGCACTGTCAAAGAAGCATGTAATGGATATAGTAATTTTCTAAGAGTTATCAACGAGTAAGTTTCTCCCTTAAATAATTTTGTACCCAAGAATAAAATGATTCATGAAGAAATTGTTACAAACAAGCAAACAAACAACCCAACACCCCAACAAACAAAACAAACAAACAACCCAACACCCCAACAAACAAACAAACAAACACCCCAACAAACAAACAAACAAACACCCCAACAAACAAACAAACAAACAACCCCAACACCCCAACAAACAAACAAACAAACAAACAAACAAACAAACAAACAAGCCAAGACTCCATTTGTGAAAACAGAAATGCCATTTTTATTTTGTTTAAAAGCAAACTTGGTGGATTTCAAGCTTTCCTCCATTGCAAATCTTCAAGTTTAATAGTATTCTGAGTTGGCTGGCTAGAAACAACTTCATACAATCATGGAGCTATAAAACACGGCCCCACGATACTGTCACTGCCTAACATAAAGGCTGAGTTCAGGCGGCTTGTTCTCGTATATTCATGAACAGCTCGATTGGTTTTTCATGGGTCGGCCGCTCGAACACTGGGAATGTACATGTGCAGCATGGTGGCGTCCTTGTGCATTTTTCGAGAGTTAATGTTTGGGTGACTGGGCTAACTTCGTTTCCATTAAAAAAATCATATCTGTCATGGAAAATTATTAATGTTAATTTTGCAAAACTTTCCGTTGTCTCCAGCTTTGTAAGCTATCTCGATAGTTTTTGCAGCTTTTCAAAAATCAAGCTCCACAACTTTTCCGTATGTTCGTGTAAAACCCTGATGAGGAGGTGGTTTTTTAACTTGTTCCGAGAACAGTGTTCTTGAGTCGTGTTCCCGCTGCTCGAGCACGAAAACTTGAAACGCGTGTCAAGAACAGGCTGCCCGAACTGAACCAAGGTGTCTGAGTGGAATAGAGAAGTTTTTACCATGAGACTTACCTTCTAGGCTTACTGATGGAATTTCAGAAATTGTAGCAAAAATGTCCAATGCAAATTTAGCTTTTAAAACTTGTCATGGGCTGTGCAGCTTGTTTTTAAATTTCACAATTCAATTCAATTCTTTGTTGTCCAGAAAAAAATTGAAATTCTTCTTGTTCGCTTTACATAGACATTCATAACATATCAACATAATATAAAAGTCACTTGCCCTGTGCAAAAAGTGTTCTTTCACAAAACTGTGCAAATCTCATAGCCCTGTCAACTGCTGTGGTGTGATATGCAGTGGCAAATTAGTACTTTGCAAACAGGAAATAAGTGGGTGCAAATTGTAGTCACCGAGCCTTTTAAGAGTACATTACTTCTTGGGGTTTCAAAAATGTGTTCAGTTCAATTCTCCGTAATTTGTTTGGATATTAGTAGAATCTTTTCAAAAAGCAAACTCAAATGTAAATTGCCAGTTGGCATAAGGCCCTTTGAGAATAGTGTTGAAGTACTACCTATACACTTGGTGCAAAAAGTAGAACAAAAACATTTTTCCTTGAATTTGACAACTTCCCTCATCCCTACCAACTTTGCTTTTCATGAGGACAGACAAGATAGGTCTCTACTTAATGTAAGTCTACATGGTGTATGCGTCAAATAAAAATACCCATTGACATATATATGATTCATATTTATATTTATAGAAAAAACTAAACATTTTACATACCCAACCCTAATATTTAATGCCACTTTTTGTAGTTTTTGTAACATCTCATGGTCCCAGTGGACCACTTTCAGAAGTGTTTTTGAATGACAATAAGGGGGTGAAATGATTTTTCAGAATTGTTAATATTTTGAACCATAATGAATGTCTCTGAGTATTTTCAATTGAAGTACATACTTTGAGCATGAAGTTGAAGTCAGTTTGTCTGACCTCATAAAGAAAAAGTTCGCAAAACTATTTCAAACAGCAAAAATTGTTTTCTTCCAACGTTTGCCCCAACTGTATCTGATTAAATCCTGTATGCATGATGCATTAGGAAAGTAATGTTTTGGGGAGCATTACTGTTCAAGAGGCCAGGAAGTAGAACTATGCAAAACCAAATGCGTATTAACTCCCATCATCGGATTGCTCCTTATTCACCTCTCCACCTTGTATTTTACAGTCCAATTTTATACCCCACCCTTTGGATTTCTTTTCTCTCAGTTCTTGTTCCACAATTTTCCACACTCATTCCTCCTTTCCTTCCATTGCTATGCTTATTTTGTTGTCTCAGCTTACCTAGCTACCAGTGATATTAATTCAACTCCATTTCCCCTCGTAGGTCAAATATGTGTATTTCTCATCCCTGTTCTAAATTCTTATATTAATTAGCCCCTTTTTGTAACTCTCTTTTGCCTTGACTCCCAAAAGGCCACGGTCTTGCTCCCTTGCTAATCAATGAGCCCTTCTGTGGCAAGTTGCTGTCTTTGACTAAGATTCTTACCCAGCAAGGACATTCCTCAGAGATGCCAAACTGAATGCACTAATGGGTCTTGCGTATGTATGTAGTTAAGTACAGAGTACGCACAATTACTTGAAAATTTAAACAGAAACTATCCAAAGACATTCTCCCCGCCCACAACACACCCAACACCGACAGCACCTACTTGGATCCTCTCCCACTTACAGCCATATTCTTCCTTTGCACATTTTTAGGTCAACTGTTGCTGAGGTCAACAGCTATGAAAACCCCTGGCCAGTCAGCACAGAGGAATTTGAGCCACCAAGAACCACATTATAGGGATGCACAGCATTTCTAGCATGACTTTTTTTAAAGCCCCTTTGTTATCAACTGTAAAGGTTACACTTTAGCTGAATAATCTGAAATGTCTTAATATATTCAAGCTTAAGTGTTATTAGGTGGCTTAGAGGTAAAACAAAAAAGAAAACTGTTCTCAAAAGTGGTAAAAATGATCATGAAATCTGTCACAGCAGACCAGTTTGAAGCTAAGCCTGTGGAGCTTCTAGGTAAATCTGCTCAGCATAGAATTGTGTTCAACTAAAGCTCAACAAGAACACGGTCAGAATTTGTGAAGGGTTCTCAGCAAAGTGTTTTGCTTGGAAATTTGTTAAAGCAGCATTGTCATAATGATATTCAGTAACTTGACTTAGACACTTTTGATAGACTTAGCAAATTTGATCTAAGCCCAGTAGTCAACAAGCTATTGATTTGTGATGTTTTATTTGCCTGCATGCGCGTATCAAAGTGAAGATGTCTCTAGTAAAACTCTGGTCAAACATTGTGGCTATGGTCCTGGCTCCCTGCTGTATTTTGTGCTATGATATATGTAGTCATTGGTAACCAATAATACAGCCAACCTTGGTATGGGGGTCTTCAATAACCGACACCAGCAGCATGCAACAAGAGTTAGTTCAATTGTGATTGACCACAGTTTGTGATTAGACTTGCTTCTGTGGTGTATTGAGTAGTACAAATGGCAGTGGGATGATTTTAGGGGGGGGGCAGTTAAGAGACCATCAGGCATCAGCCATTAAAAGGTGGATTCATTATGCCCCACCCTTTTACAGGACCTGCAAAAAGTGGGGTACATGTAAAAGTGAGTACATGTGAATGTATCAAGTTTTGGCTGATCTTATTTGCACTTAAAGTCAGGTATGATGAACTGACCTTTTTATGATCAAAAAGCACTTAATCTGCAAGGATGGACAGGGTTTAATGTCAATTGCAATAGGCTTCTTCAGCGTAATTTTATGACGACATTTTTATCAGTATTTGTAGTGTTCTATTACAGTACATGTACCTTACCAAAACCTGTGAAAATAGTGACTGTAACTTTGCTGTCAACAAAAATGTCTAAAATGCCTTTCATGAAACAACATTAACAAATTGGGGGTAAAAAAGTGCACACAATGATACTAAGATTTTATTGTAGTTCAAAAGTACATTTATGGTTTATCAGATTCTAGTCTATTCAGGGCTCAACATCTTATGGGGGAGGGGAGTTCATTGTTCAAATCTGTTGCTGAAGTCAGACTACAATACCAGAGAATTCTTCCTCCGTTGTGGTTTATAAATCAGATTAGTGTGAAATTTTTGAAGTGCCTTTTTGTAAAAAATTTAATAACAGCAGCATTCTCTTTGCAGTAAATTTTGATTTCTTGAATGTGATAGGAAACATTTATGCCCGCTTTTTAGAGCTCTTGGATACCTTCAGACAGTTCCACTTGGCATTGTAAAGGAAATAGTGATTTGTTTGTTTCCAAGTTCGGGGTACTTAATTTAATGCAATGTAAATATGTCATAAATGTTTGTGTGTTGCTTCAACTTTTGTAAAAAGTCTACTTAATTTTACTTGTTTACGAGAAAAATCTTTTTCCATTAGTACTTTTTTGTAGCTATACTGGCTGTATTTTTAACCAATGTAATTGAATTACAAAATACAGGTATTAGTTTTACCAGGAAAGTAGACTTTGAATTTAGAACGGTCTCTTCAGAAAAAATCCCACCAAATAGAATGGGTTGGTTTCTGTTCAGTGCATACTCAATTACTGTCACAAGAGACTTCAAACGTTCAATTGCTTATATCCAAATTCTTCAATGATTTGTAAGGGTTCAAGGGCATACCAATCACAAGCTTAATCCACTTTATACGAGTCAAAATTAATTAGCTTAGGACAAATTTTGTAACCTGTGACTTTTTTCAGAGTGTGATAAATTTATTCCATTCCGGTACCCAGGCTCCAAGTACATTGCAGAAACATTGCATTACAGTAACTGCTTGGTTGAGATTCATGTGCCAGTGACAGAAACCAGCTGATCAGACGGTATCCCACCAATGTTGACAGTAGTTAGAGTGAAGACTAATGTCCACACTAGCAAAGCTCTCCTCAAAAACAAACACTGTAGGTTGACTTATACATAGCACTTCTGCTGCCTTTACCTGAACCGCTTGAACAATTTGGTTTGTTTTATTACATGTGTTCCTGTTAACAAATCATCTTTGTGTGGCAACTTTTACATGCAATTCCACTTGCTTTGAGACATGCTTTCATACAGAAATTGTGATTTTAAATAAAAGCAAAGAGTGATAGCACAACTGTCGTTTGACTTTGTTTAGATTGCTTGATGTCACGGCCTGTTATTCTCGATGTAATGAAATTTAACAGACAAAGTTGGAAACTCCCCACTCATTCGGTTCAGAATTTGGTAATAATTACCTGTGTAGATGCTTCCCAAATCATTTAAAAACCAGGCTGAGATAGCTTTACACATTAAATCACACTTTCTGTAAACGTGGCCCCTTCTGTCAAAATATGGAACCCCATACAAGAACTCTGATCAAAGGACTCTCTTTTGAAATAGCTCAGTGGGTCCAAAGGCTAGAGTATTGAAATAGAAACTCCCACTTCATAATTTGACTAACATCAAGGTGTGAAGTAGAGGATTTTCTGTCATGACTGTTAGCATTCAATTAAATACACAGATGTGTGCAGAAATGTGCGCAACCTTGGATATCTGTCAACATTCTGCCCGTACATGAAACTGTCAACAGAAATACCCAGATTCTTGCATGCACCTCCACAGACATAGTTCGCGTCCTAATGTTACATCACATGAAAAACTTCTATAGCAACACGAAGAAGAAATGACTTAACATTCCATCACAGGGCACTAGCCCGCCATCCTATTCAGTTATGATGGCTTAACTTGCCCATTCAAGATTCTATAAAGAATCTAACTTATTATCAGCAAATACATCCTCAAGTTCAAGAGGTGATCTGAAATTCTAAACTGTTTTGGATGCAAAGGTGTCACATGATTCTAAATGTACCAGAATGATGTCAATCTACACTGCTAGCGATTGGGAAAATACTTCATGGATGCCTCAAGTGATAACAGGAACACCACCAAAAAAAACCCACAAGCATACTCTCATAAAAGAACAAAGACGTTTCTGTATTGTTGGCCTTGCAATTTTCTACTTACACAAATAGTATCCTGGGCTTGGATTTTATTTCAATCTTCATTTTAATAAAGTGTGAATTGCAAACAATTCAAAAATAGTATGTAATGAAGCAAAGTAGTCACTAGAAAACTTCACCACATAAAACCTTTAACCATTTCATGCCGGGGCATTTTTCAATGTTGATGATGCTGGGCCGGCATGACTATCACTTTTTAAGTTTTCAAAATCTTTCAAAAATTCATCATTTCATTTAACGGTCGTTTATAGCCGCACAAAGTAATCTTTAGGCACTACTCTAAGTTGACAGGTGACCTTCATTGACGCCTGAGTATTTCAGCCAGGCCAGCAGCCTTGTAAACAGAGCTCAGATTGTGCGGTGTTGTATAACTGTCTTTTGATCACTAACCTGGCTCAGTGCACTGCTGACCTCTTTTCAATAGGGGCCAGATTAGCGTGCAGCGGAGCTGTGTGGCTCATCGCTGCGGTGGTGGAGCGCTTTTGTCCCCGGTGGTAATCCGCTGGCTCTCCATGCCCCAAACCCTGGTATACGGTTTCAAAACAAGGCTGGATAATCACCACTTTTGAGAGTGAAAAATGCCGGTAATGCCCAGCAGCCTGGTCTTTTGTTTGGAGTACGATCTTTTGTTACAGGGCCCTGTTTCCTTTGTCCAAGTTCGGAGACCCCGGCCACGCATATTAACCATACGTCTCCGATTCCGGAGTCCCCGGCAGGAAGTGGTTAAAAATCTTTCTTTTTCTCTTTCTGGAAAGTTAGTTGATTATGGTTACCCAGGGCTCATAATTTGGATCCCCTCAATAGTCAGGTACTCGGATGCCTAGTTCTATCAAATGAATATCTCTGCTTTGAGGAATTCAGAAAAAAATACGAAGAAACCGAGAACCCACCGTTCTTAGTCTAAAATTAGGTATTCCGCAACTCATGACCATGATGATGGCTGCAGAAGATTACGGTTTCAAGTGGGCTTGTTATTATTTCTCTCAAAGCTTCTTGGCCTGCATTAAATGTACATATAAAGCTCAGGAAATAACACCTGTGAAGGACAAACCCAAATAACAGAACTCCTGTGTAGAAAACAAAATTAGGCCAGCTGTACTCACAGCTCAGATGAACGATTCTCTGACTTCATCAGTCATCACCCTAACCCTTTTGAAAATAAATGTTATATTACTTCATTGCTGATTAAAATGAAAAGCAAAGCATTATGCCTCACAGCAAAAGGTAATTGACAGGGAAATCACATGGTAATAAAATACTTGATGCCTGGTTAAAGCATTTGTTGTTCTGTGAATACCCAATAAGGAGTCAATAATTCAAAAAAAATCTTGAAACAGTCCACTCCTATCTGAATATCTTATTACTCTATGAGTATGATTTTGGGCCAATGTGATCAGTATAGCAGTGGTTTCACCAGTTTACATGGTTATCCACAGTTCAATATTTACTCCTCCACAACATACAATATTCCATCAAGATAGAGTCTTCTGGTCTGCAATGAGATCATGCCCATAATTGCAGCTCAAAATGCCACAAAGAAAACTTGCAGAGAACAAGTTCTCAATGGTTATTTCTCAGTATCTGTTCTCAGTTCCTTGGGCTTGACTCGTTTGTCCTGCAACCTGGCTCGCTTCTCTTCAAGGGTTTCAGATGAGGACCTTCAAATATCAAACCAAAAATAAATGAAACAATCTTTGGAAGTAAATAGATTGTTCAGGAAAGCAAAAGACTTCTCCTGAAAGAACGGTAAAATTGCCTAAACTGGCTTCTTGTAGAGTCACCAAAAAATGGGATTTCTGTGTACTTTGGTAAATGTTTTACAAAACTTTCACAGACAAGATTCAGTGTTAATTCCAGACTTTGGTCACACATGGGAAATGCCAGGAGCAAACTTTTATACAATGCGGTGTACTGAAAATGAAAGACAACAAAATGTGCAAAGTAAAATGTGACAATAAGAGATGTCGGCAAAAAAATTGATAGATTACACTGTCTGAAATGTCAATAGGTTATTTTCATATAAAAATAAAACTGAGGGCAGGTGGCACAAATGATTGTTAAACAATGTGGGATAAGTAAGAGTTAGAACTTGTTTGGCTGAACATGAACAGAATTGCAGCAATACCTCATATCAAAATTTCAAACTCCTGGACTGAGTTCGGACGGCTTGTTCTCGTTTGTTCATGAACAGCTCAATTTGTTGTTTGTGGGTCGGCCGCTCGAACCCTGGGAACATACAACCGGTTATTATCGCTGGTAGTTATTTGTGGCAAGCAACATGCAACATGGCAGATTCCTTGAGCATTCTTGGAGAGTTAATGTCAGATAACTGGGTTAACTTCTTTTCCATTAAAAAAAAAATCATTTCTGTCATGGAAAATTGTTAATTTTCCAAACTTTCCATTGTCTCCGGCCATAAGCCATATCGATACTTTTTGCAGCTGTTCAAAAATCAAGGCTCACAAGTTTTTCCGTGTGTTCATGTAAAATCCTGACGAGGTGGCGTGTGATCCTTTTCCGAGAACAGTATTCATGAGTCCTGTTCTCACCGTTTGAGCACAAGAACAAGAAACCTGTGTCAAGAACAGGCCGCCCGAACTCAACCCTGTATGCTAGCCATTTGCTGAAAATGTGGACAGAAAACCTCAACTCATTGTTGTCCTGGCCTATATAAAAAGTGGAGGGGAAAACAATAACTACCATCAATGCCATAAACCCTCACACTCAGAGCATTTTGTCTTCTCAGTGTACTGTATATCTTAGAATGCAATCCTGTTATGTTGGGAATTGACAACTTGTGTATATCATTAAATGGAAGCAGCTCCATTTGAGCGAGCATGTGAGCTAACAAGTATTCTGGGGGGGCACATTATAATAACCTATCATCCTGGCACTTGTTTTGACAACAACCTATAATTTCTGCCCCACTGTTGATTTTATTTACACAAAATGTTGGAACTAAGCACATGCTCATTCGGTGTTATGCATTTTATTTGCATGCACATCCCTGCTTTGTTCTGCAAGTATAGGCCTCATATAGTGCCCTCTTTCATCTATGCACAGAATCCATTATCAACAAGACTTACGATGGCTTGGCCCTTGCTTTGGGCCCCCAGTTTGGAGCCGGATTGGCAGGAAACCTTGTTATCCCCTGTTTCTGTGACCCTGGTATCGCATCATTCCTGACATCAAATGAGACCTCGGTCCTGGCCATATTGAAAGAAAAAAGTTAACTTCATGTTGTGCATTTCAGCATCAATGGAAGTTTTGTAGTCAAGCCCTCAAGTAAACCGTACCAAAGCACCAAGTTAGTGTAGATTGAGTTGTTTAAAGAAGAAAAGTGTTTGGGTGCATGCATGTAGGTGACATTGGTATGCAAAAAGTATACAAACATTCTCAATACCAGTATATCAATTTTGTGGCAAAAATTGTGTAAAAACATCCAGATTCAAAAGCACTTGTACTCAAAACACACTGCTTAGTTTTCCAAGCTAGGCTCCTATTGTCCCACACACTTCATATTTTGATATACAACACTGCTACAACAAACCAAACATCACTGTACAGAGCAATCTGGCATACCATTATGGCTTCAGTGCTTTAGAATGGTTCCAAGCCAATCTATTATAGTTATATCTATTATATATTCTATTATATCTATTAACACGGTAGCAAGAACCAGAGAAACCCTACTGCATGTTGCATTAAGCAATAACGCAAAGAAAACTTGATTTTTAGTTACAATTGGACTTTCATTGAGGATTCCCAAAATATGAAATATGGAAGAACATACACAAAGCAATTTGCAAGAATTTGTGAAGCAGGCTGCCGTTAGTTTATACAGGCCATGGCTAGAACAGGTGCATCAGAAGCTGAAAAATCGCTAAACTAATACTACATGACCGCTAGAGCAAATGCATCATATGCAGACTTTGTCCTGTTTGTTATAGTGGTACTGTACTACATTCATTGGATTCTGAAAAGGACACATTGCTACCACAACTGGCTGTACACAAGGTCCAAGTTCAGGACTTCTTGGACAGTGTGTGTGCATGTGTAGCTTTAGTGTGTTTGGATGTCATCCAGAGGCTAGTCAAGACACGCTTAATGCTTTAACCTGTCAGCGTGCCAGTAAGAGACAGCAAGATCATTTTTACATGTCCTCAGGTGTGAAGTGTTTCAGAGCATCCACTTGAAGGATTCTTTTGAAGTCTCATCTCCAACTATTAAACCCAACATTGTAAAAATGATTTTCATATGTTGGATGTACATGCCAGCAAACCCCACATTCTAGTGCATAATACAATGAGCTAGTCTTGCGTGATGCCAAGCTAGTCTCATGTGATGCCAAGCTAGTC